AAAAAATATTGCTAAGATTGATGTTGAAGAGCTTACTGCCTATGTTTTTTCTTCTAGGAGTTTTATGCTTTTAGGTCTTATATTCAAGTCTTTAATCCATTTTGAATTTACTTTTGTAAAGATAGTGGTCCAGTTTTCCCAGCACCATTTATTAAGTGTCTTTTCCCCATTGTATATTCTTGCCTGCATTCTTATAGATTAACCACATATGTATGGATTTATTTCTGGACGCTCTATTCCATTGATCTCTATGTCTGTTTTGTGCCAATACCATACTGTTTTGATTATGATAGCCTTGTAGTAATATTTGAAATCAGGGCATGTGTTACCTCCACCTTTGTTCTTTCTCAAGACTGCTTTGGCTATTTGGGATCTTTTGTGGTTCCCAAAATTTAGATTTCTTTGTTCTAATCTGTGAAAGATGCCATTGGTATTTTGGTGGGGATTACAATGAATCTGCAGATTGCTTTGGGTAACAATTTTAACAATATTAATTCTTCCAATCAATAAGCACAGAATATCTTTCCATTTATTTGTGTTGTCTTCAATTTCTTCCATCAATGTCTTATAGTTTTCAGAGTATAGGTCTTTTCATCTCTTTGGTTAAATTTATTCCTACAGGGTGCCTGGGTAGCTCAGTCCGTTAAGCATCTGCCTTCAGCTCAGGTTATGATCCCAGGGTCCTGGGATCAAGTCCTGCATTGGGCTCCCTGCTCAGAAGGGAGTCTGCTTCTCCCTCTCCCTCTGCCCTGACCCCCTGCTCGTGTGTGCTCACTTGCTCTCTCTCTCTCTCAAATAAATAAAATCTTTTACAAAAGTGAATTTAGGGGCACCTGGGTGGCTCAGTTGTTAAGTGTCTGCCTTCAGCTCAGGTCATGATCCCGGGGTCCTGGGATCGAGCCTGCACTGGACTCCCTACTCCGTGGGAAGCCTGCTTCTCCCTCTCCCACTGTTTTCTTAATTTTGCCTTCTGATGCTTCATGATTAGTGTATAGAAATGTAAACCATTTCTGTATGGTAATTTTGTATCCTGTGACTTTACTAAATTCATTTATTAGTTCTAATAGTTTTTTGGTGGAGTCTTTAGGGTTTTCTAAATATAGTACTATGTCATCTGCAAATAGTGACAGTTTTATTTCTTCCTTACCAATTTGGGTGCTTTTTTTCTTGTCTGATTGCTATGGCTAGGACCTCCAGTGATATGTTGAATAAAAGTGGTCAGAGTAGCATCCTTGTCGTGTTCCTGATCTTAGAGAAAAAGCTTTCATCCTTTTTTCACCATTGAGTATAATGTTAGCTGTGGGTTTGTCATATATGGCCCCTATTATTTTGAGGTACATTCCTTCTATACCCACTCTATTGAGAGTTTTTATCATAAATGGATGTTTAGTTTTGTCAGATGCTTTTCTGCATCTATTGAGATGATCGTATGACTTTGGTTTATGAATATTTTGTTGAGGACTTCTGCATGTATGTTCATCAGGGATTTTGGCCTGTAGTTTTTTATGTGTGTGTGGTGTCCTTATCTGATTTTGGTGGCCTCACAAATATGTTTGAAAGCATTCCTTCCTCTTCAATTTTTTGGAATAATTTGAGGATAGTCATTAACTCTTATTTATTTATTTATTTATTTATTCATTCATTCATTCATTTCCAGAGAGTGAATGGGGAAGGGGCAGAGGGAGAGGGAGAGAGAGAATATTAAGCAGGCTCTGCACCCAGCATGGAGCCCAACGCAGGGCTTGATCTCACGACCCTGACATCATGACCTGAGCTGAAATCAAGAGTTGGTCGCTTAATCAACTGAGCCACCCAGGCGCCCCATTAGTTCTTCTTTAAATGTTTGGTAGAATTCACCTGTGAAGCTGTCTGGTCCTGGAATTTTGTCTTTTGGGAATTTTAAAATAACTGATTCAATATCATTACTTATAATGAGTCTACTCAGATTTTCTCTTTCTTCATGACTCAGTCTTGGATGGTTGCTTGTTTCTAGGAATTTATCCCGTTTCTTCTAGGTTTTCCAACCTGCCTGGGGAAGGGAGCAATTTATTAGTGTATAGTTGTTTGTAGTAATCTCTTATGATCCTTTGTATTTCTGTGATTTCAGCTGTAATTTCTTTCATTTCTGATTTTATTTCAGCCCTCTCTTTTTTTCTTGATGATTCTGGCTGGAGATTTTCAATTTTATCTTTTTAAAGAACCAGGTTTTAGTTTCATTTATCTTTTCATGTGTGTGTGTGTGTGTGTGTGTGTATGTGTGTGGTCCCTCTTCCATTTATTTCTGCTCTGATCTTTATTATTCCCTTACTTCTACTAACTTTGGGCTTTGTTCTTCTCTTTGTAGTTTCTTTAGATATAAAGGTAGAAAGTTAGGTGGTTTATTTGGGATTTCCTATTTCTTGAGGTGGGCCTGTATTGCTATGAACTGCTCTTTCAACTGCTTTTGCTGTGTGTCATAAATTTTGGAAAGCTGTTCCCATTTTCATTTGTCTCACGGTATTTCATTTGTCTCAGGTGACAAAAATGCCTCCAACACGTTCATGATTCAAAAGTGCCTGTTGCTGACTTTTTGAAATAACTGAGTAGGTATTTTGTTGAATGTCCCTCAAATGGGGCTTGTCAATTACTTTTCTCAATATTAGACTGGGGCTACAGGTTTTGGGGAGGAAGACCACAGAAGTGCCACTTTCATCACAATATACTAAGGGTATCTACAGTCAACACGACTTATCACTGTTCCTGTTGACTTTGATCACTTGGCTGAGGTAGTGGCTGAAAAGCGACTATTACAACTTATACCTGGCCAGAGATAAAACGTTAGTTGGTACTGAGGTCTATAGACACATGGACATTTTTTAGCTCTCACCTATGATGTTCATCCACCCTAAACAGACTTGAAATAAAGTGAGGTATGCACTGTATAAAACGATACAAGAGATTTTGTGCTGGGGTGGGCCCTGAGGAGATGGCACCTAGCATGTGTTAACAGGTGAGTCCTCTTCTGCTCTTGGCAATGCCCAAGCTCTTGAGAGGCCTTCTGTCTGAACACGAGAGGCAGGACTGACAGGCTGGCTGCTGTGGCCTGCCTGCTCAATGCTGACTGTTCTACTAGGACTGAGGAGAACCTCCTCAGTGCTGGCTTCTGAGGTTCTTGGCAGTCCCACTTATCACTGGGACTCCCCTCATATTCACATTCAAACAGAACCTGCCCAGGGAAGGGAGCAAGACGGGGTTTTCTGGGTGCTGAGACCATTCTTTTCTTGATTTGGTTGCTGGCTGCATAGTTATTTTTGGTTTATGAACATTAATCAAGCTGTACATTTTCTGCATGTATATTATATGTTAATAAAAAATAAAAACAAAAGCAAGTAAAAATTCTAAGAGCCAGCTTGTGGATGCTTTTTAAATTTGCTCTTTTATCCATTTTTAAGTGGACAATTCATTGGCATGAAGTAAATTCATAGTACTGTACAACCATCACTAACCATCACTATTACCCATTTCCAGAACTTTTTTTTTTTTATCCCAGTCAAGCTCTCCATCCCTCTCCCCTGCCCAGCTTTTGGTAACTTCTATTCTACTTTTTGTCTCTATAAATTTGCTATTCTAGGTACCTCATATAAGTGAATCATACAGTACGTGTCCTTTTGTGTCTTGCTTATTTCAGCATAATGTCCTCAAGGTTCATCCATTTGGTAGCATGTATTAGAACTTCATTCATTTGTAGGGCTTAAAAATATCCCATTGTATGTACCGACCACACTTTATTTATCCATTTATCTGCTGATGGACACTTGGGTTGTTGTGCATATTGGCTATTGTGCATAATGCCACTGTGAACAGGGGTGGCTAAGTGTCTGTTTAATTCTATAAATTCTTTTACAGAGAAATAGAATTGCCAGATCATATGGTAATTCTGGTTAACTTTTTCAGGAACCATCAAAGTCTTCCACAGTGGCTGTACAATTTTAATATTCCCCAATGGAAATATATGAGACTTCCAATTTTTTTCTTTTTCCTTTTTTTGAGAGTTCCAATTTCTCTACATCCTCACCAATACTTGTTCTTTTCCATTTTGTTTTGTTTATAATAGCCATCCTAGTGGGTGTGGAGTATGACCTCATTCTGGGTTTTGATTTGCACTTCCCTAATGGCTAATACTGTTGAGCATTTTTTCACGTGTTTGATGGCCACCTGTATATCTTCTTTGGAGAAATGTCAATTCTAATCTGTTTTGACCTTTGATCAAATCCGATCTGACCTTTGATTTAGATTTTTTCTATTGCTAAGGTGTAAGAATTCCTAATATATTGTGGATACTAAACCCTTATCAGATATATGGTTTCCAAATGTTTTCTTCCCATTCCATGTCTTTTCACTGTCTTACTAATATCTTATAATGAACAAGAGGTTTTTAATTTTGATGAAGTTCAATTTATCTACTTGTTGTTGTTGCCTGTGCCTTTGGTGACATTATCCAAGAAGTCACTGCCTAAGCCAATGCCATGAATAATACTCACTTTTGACTTGGACCATTCTTTATCTCTTATGTCAGCTGGGTTTCAGGAAGGAATTCACTGTAATTAACAAACATTTTTTTTTTTTTTTAATTAACAAACAAAACTCTTTGGATTGCTACAGTGAACACACCTCACTGAAGTCTTGGTCCTCTTTGTGAGGAAGGGAGTCATGCAATGTAGCTAAAAGAATAAGTACATGAGGACACAGAAGAACTAGCTTTGGCTATGGGCCCTGGGAGCAAGCTGTGACCTAGAAGAAGTCACCTCCTTTCTCTGAGCCTCCATTTTCTCTTCCATGTCATGAAGGTGTTGCGAGGGGTAGGCTCTGGGGTCTCAACTGTCAATTTCATTGCCTGTCCTTCCATGTTTGGATAGCACCCTGGTACACACATTCGTCAAAGGCCAGACCTTTGGGCAGACAATCCACCTCTTCCCTGGAATGTGAGTGAGACTTAGCATGCTAGAAAAGGGGAGACTTACAAGGGTGATGACTTCCCGGGCAATCACATGGCCGCCAGGAGCCCAGAGCAGGAAGTTCAGGACGAGGCGCCTGATCAGCTGTTGACACAAAGGTGGTCTGGGGTCTCTGTCTCGGCTCTCTGCAGCTGCTGCCTGCAGATCCTTGGCTGAGAGAGTCGGACTTCTGAACAGCTTCTTGAGGTGGCCGAGCACTGCCTTTACCTCTATCTGGGAAGTATAATGTCAAAGGTGAGATATTAGGGAAGAATCAACACAAGCATAATTCTAGGACTGATTTGGGACTTTGAAGCAACCCCCAGAAAGACGAGAGGACTGGCGCCCGAGGGAAGGCAGAGAGAGGCGACTCATGTCTGAGCTTACACACTGCTCCACACAAACCCAAATGGGCGTAATGGAAATTTCTTGACTTTCTTTCGTCTTGCTCACTAAGCAGCCAAGGCACCATGCCAGGAATTGACCTTTTTTTTTTTTTTTTTTAAAGAAAGGAAATGGAGAAAAGTCCTCAGCAGAATGTAGTCAGATTTTTATATTGTGGGAAAAAGAACAAAAAGCTCCTTGAAGACTCGCTCACTATCACAGCCACAAATCAATTAAAGCCCCATGCAACTGGACCTCCACTGAGCCAATGTTCTGATAAGAATGAGTTTGCCTTTTGCCTTTTGCTATCTTTGAGGGATGGAAACACACACACACACACACACACACCACATTTGTTTTGTTTTAGACACAGGGACAGTCTGTTCATACATGTTTAAAGCCCAAGCAGAGGTCACAAGTCTGTGGAATCCACATAATAATGGTGATTGTTATAGGTCTGTGGGTTGTTTTTGCATAAAAAATACTTATTTCATGCTGAGACTTCTGCTTGCTAGAAGAATGGTATCAAGTTGTGACTTGGAAACAAAGAAAAAACTGAAAGCCATAGATCCAAAATGCCACATGGCACTCATGAACAGCTATGTTCCGTCATTTTCGGAAGAATACTTAGGCCTATTCTGAGAATTCCCATGACCAATTTTATGGATTTTGTGTGAGTCTTTTTTTTTTTTTTTTCCTGGAAGTTAAGGCCTCATTCAATGAAGTCTGTCATAAACTCCAGTACACTAGGAGTGCTGTGTGAGCTATTCTGACCACAGTCCAAGACCGTGAGAAACTGCACCATGGGGCTCTTCCACGGAGAATGGCAGCATTCCAACAGGAGAGGGCTACTCTCTCACCACCTCCTCCTGTCAGCTGGGCCCAGCCTGCCCTCATCTGATGGCATCTATGGGAGCCCAAGACCCTCCTCTCATCTAAATGGTGTGCAAAAATGTCAGAGCTTAGGAAGTTATGCCTTCATATCCATTTTGTTCTTGACTGAAGAAAATCTTGATTTTCTACCCTTGTCCAGTACTCCCTAAGACTGGTCTTCTTCATCCCAGACCATCTTTCCCTTTAAATGCCTTCCATGTCCATAAGCTTCTACCTGACATGCCAAAACTTTTTTTTAATTTTTTTTTTAAAGATTTTATTTATTTGACAGAGAGAGAGAGTGATCGCAAGTAGGCAGACAGGGAGGCAAAGGGAGAGGGAGAAGCAGGCTGCCCGCTGAGTATGGACCATGCAGGGCTCGATCCCAGGACGCTGGGATCATGACCTGAGCAGAAGGCAGACGCTTAACCCACTGAGCCACCCAGGCGTCCCCCGACATGCCAAAACTTTAAATGCTTTTTCATTTGTTTTTAGGTAAAAGACATAAGCTTTCTATTCTAAGTAGTACTTTTTATCCTGCATTGTGAAAATTTACATATGCTCACTGCAGAAATTTAGAAAAAAGTATCTAACTCCACTACCCAAATAAAAGTTCTGATCTAACTTGATCTCAGGCTGGTCCTGCTCCATTTTCTCCAGGGGAGATGGAGGAAACCAGGTAGGTTCACATCTTTCTCATCTTTTTCCCATGCCTTGTGCAAACAGCACTCACTATGCACTATGTTTTCTTTGTGTTTTCACAATGCACTGTAAGCAATGTCATGTATCTATGACAGTCTTTGAGAACATGATTTTTCATGGCAGAATGCTAGTCCATGGTTAGAATATGTCACAATTTATTTAGTCAGTTCTTTACTATTCAAAGTTTAGGCCATTTGTCATGTCTGCAATTACAATAATGCTCATGTCTCATACATAAATCTTTGTATGGATCTCTAATTACTTCCCTAGGGTAATTCCTAGAGGTGGAATGACAAAGTTAGAGTATGAACCCTGGCCTAATTCTTAGGGATATACAAACACAGGCATTTTTTGTTTTTATCATGATTCATTTCAGAGTTAGTAAAAGAAGATGGACACTGGCTGGCAGTGAACACGGTCTACAGAGAGAAGGGTGGGTCTTTGTGCGGTGGCTGCTCTTGCTTCCCTGCTACTGAACCTCAAGGGTGGTCAGGGGAGGGGGTGCTTCTAGCTACAGTATGCTATCAGGCCTGAGCGATTAACTGGATTTAATGACACCTTTTGGGGAAAAGGCACAGATGCTGTCAGGCTCATTCAAATCTCCCAATAATCACACGTTCAAAGGCAGCTCACAGTTCGTTTCTCAAGTCACCCAACAGACCATCAAAGGGATTAAAGCTCAAAAAACCAGGAGAGCGAGAGGCATGTCTTACTAGTTAAACTAGGAAAACTGGGCCCACTTGCTTCTCAGGATGTCACACACACCAGCGCCTCAGGTTGGGCACCAACGAGGAAGAAAGAAGCTTTGGGATCACAGACATGGAGTGTGGCTTCAATCACAAGACGAACAGCCACCTCTGACAGGATAGCTAAGAAGGAAGCGAACATGCTGGTGCTAAACTACTCTTGAGTGTGCTAATCTAATTTTTTCAAAGATTTTATTTATTTATTTGAGAGAAAGCAAGAGAGAGCATGAGCTGTGGGGAGGGTCAGAGGGAGAGGGAGAAGCAGACTCCCTGCTGAGCAGGGAGCCCAATGTGGGGCTCGATCCCAGGACCCTGAGATCATGACCCGAGCTGAAGGCAGATGCCCAATCCAACTGAGCCACCCAGGTGCCCTAAGCTAATCTATTTTTATCCAGTATGCCTAAGCATCCCTGGAGTAAGAACTATGCACAGGTTTTATTAAAAAAAAAAAAAAAAAGACCTAGTTAAGTATTAGACATGCCAATGCAGAACTTTCTAGAACTTACATTTTTTGGGGGGACAACTTATTTCTCTATAGTTCAAAAGTGAACCTCTGTTGGTTTCTATGATTGATATAGAATTTAACACATAACCTACCTACTTAGCTTATAAACAATCAAAGTATATATAACAGGGCTTTGGAAATCATGCATGTGCTACATGCATTTTAACTACTACTATCATTAAAAATAAGGATTTCCCTTAATTAGGATTAGGATTTCCCTTAATTAGTTTGATATTTTAAAAGGGAAATAGAAGGCTTTCTTTTTAATATACTAACCCTCAAATACATATGTGGATTATGATAATTTCTTTAAAATGTTCTATTTTTGATCCAAAATAATCACAAAATTTCCACTTTTTAAAATCCAAAACTCTTTTTTTCCTCTACCATGCAAGCCTTTAAACAAGTAAAATATACAGACATATCTGTACTAGTCCGCTTTTTTCCAACAATGGAAAACATCAAGCAAAAAGGAGCACTGCTCTCTACATAAAGAAACCTGCTCCCTTTAATTATTAAAATTAGCAAAAAGTTCTAGCTTTAGTTAAAGTTTTAAAAACCAACAAATAAATGTTTGCAAGGGAGGTGCCAATGCCTTTAATCAAAGCACTGCTTCCTGTAATCATTATACTCCACATAAAATAACAACTCTCTTTGCCATAGACAGTCAGTCTAGTACTTAGCGGCTCTGTTATTTATGGAATGCCCAAGTCCTTTTCCAGAAGCTAAGGGGTTAATATCAGATTACTTTAGTAAGAGTTCTAAACAAAGCTGGTAATGTGAGGATCTGTTGACTGAGCCAAGAAAGCAGTAAGTCAAGACAGGCCGGGCTGCGGATCAGAGAGAGGACAGTGCTCCTCAGAAGAGCAGTCAGACTCCGTGTAGCAAATGCTAGAGGACGTGGCCCCTGGGCCAGGAGCGTCTGTAAATGAGGGCAGAGGTGGCAGCTGAGCAAAACCAGATAAAACAATGTGGGGGACAGAAGGGCTATGCCTCATCTCCTCCATGCTTCCTGGGAAAGCAGAGTGGCAGGCTCCGGTCTCCAGTCAACTCTGTGAGGCAAGAAGACGTCTCCGACCACAAACTGAGCACCCGTGCACCCACTTATCTGGGTGGACACTGACATGCTTCCGCAATGAACACAGTGACCACTCAGTGCTTAGGTGCCTGGGGGTTAGTGGAAGCCAAACCCACTACAGGGCCCCTTCCTGCAGCATCCTTTCTGATCCCGAGACGGACCCAGAGCACCGCACAGAGTGGGCCCTGCCACCCACCATGGTCTGTGCTCTCTGCAGACTCCCGTCGCGTGGGCTGTAGCTGAATGCCAAGAGCCACAGCAGGGCCTCAGGGGGTTCAGCTTCTGACATCACTAACTGCTCAGCCACGATATCAGCCCATCCTCCAAAGTGAATGAACAAAAACCAGCACTCAAAGGGGCCTCCGTAGGACCTGGAACAGAATCAAAACACATGGCAGCCCGGCAACTTGATTTCTTTCTCTTTTTCGTTCTTAAAGCAACTGTAATGTTTGCAAATGGTTGGCTTCAATTGTTCTTATGCACTGAAGTACAACTTGCAAGGAATACAAGTTACACCCAGAAAAGTAGCTCACTATGCCATGCTGAACTCATCACAGGGCCATCAAAGGCAGGTCTTTCAAAACCCCATGTGCCCTGAGGACTTCAGACATTTAAATCTTTATATCCAAGGACCATGAGTACAGGACTTTGACAAAGAAAGATTCTGGACCATGACCAACAGGAATGCTACAAGATGAGAACCTGCAGGCACCCCTTCGCTTTCTGCCTGGCCTGCACAGCTGGGCTGCCATGGAAAGTGGGGCCCCCCAGCCATTATGCAGCCACCCAGAGAGCTCCAGAGCAAGAAATGAGGGGGCTCCCGGGGGTCCAGATGGAGACCAGAGAAGGGATGCAGACAGAAACATGCACGGTTTCCTTCTGACAAAACACAAGGTTCTGGTCAGTATTCTGGTAATTATGAATTTTTAATGGGCTGCATACTGTATTCTTTCCTGTCATCACGTATATGTCCAAGCTGAAAAGCTAGAAGCTTTTGTGAAGCTATCCTTCTGTCATGCTGGGAACTGAGAGGTGTGCTGGTTGTTTAAAGGGAAGACTCCATTAATATGCACAGTGACAGTGTCAGCAGCTTAATATCTCCCCTGGAGAAAATGGAGCAGACTGGCCTGAGATCAAGTTAGATCAGAACTTTCCTTCTGAACCAGGGAAGCTCCTGGAACAGGAGAGTTCTAGGCCTCTCTTGGTTTGATCTGGGCCCAAGTGATTAAATGTTTTGAAATCTAGCTCCTGGACAGTGGAGAGAAAAGAAAAAAGGAGGGTATTTATCTTATTTGTCCCACAGGAGGGAGAAGAGGTGCTCTGTGGGCCGCATCAGTGGTCAGCTGGGTTATGATGTCTCAAAAGCAAAGGACAAGCTCCACAGGGTTTCTCCCCTACAGACCTGAGCACCAGGGCTCTCTCACCCTCCCTGCTCACAGATGGGCATCACACCTGGATCAGAGCTCAGAGCTTGCCTTGCACAAATGGGCCTGGTCCGTCTTGCTGTTTTCTACCAATAACTGAGTATGTGAGGCAGTCCCAGTGGCCGGCTGAGAAAGCATCTAAACCTGCTCACCCACTCCTCCCTGCAGGTGGACCCTGAAATCTAATTAAGGCAGATCTAGGTTAAGTAGGAGTACTGTGAAGTTTTGGGTCTAGGTCCTGCTCTGCAACAGAGACAATCTGAAAGGATGCACATGGGGCTGACGGTGTTACAGGTTGTCAGTGAGTCCAATACTCTGATCCCCGCTTGGCTGCTAGTTCTTTTTTTCTCATTTATTGGTATGAATCTTGTTGAGGAGGGGCAGATGAGTAACCGGCACAAAGCCTTCATCAATGATCACGAACATAAGGAGGACCAAGTGGAATATGTGATGGCTCAGTGAGGAGATTACAGAGAATTTCAAAAGGGAATAGTGGCAAAAGGAACAAATAAAGACAGTCTTAGTAGGTTAGTATAGACAACAAATAAAATATTTGTACTCTACAAAAAAGTAAGTCAAGAGGAAGCTGAAGGGTGTTATGTCACAAAGAACTAAAAGCCTAAATGTGATTGCTTTTAGGAAAATAATGTATATGAGAGGATACTTAATATCATGTTAGAAATTAATTTATATTAGAATGGATTTTCTAACTTTAGAAAAATATTTATTAAAAAGAGGAGGAAAAGGGGCATTTTATCCTACTGTGCAGGAGAAGGTTAGAATTTCCTTCCGTAGAGAGTAAAAGGAAGGAGAAGACCAAGGGACCCAGAGGGCACCACCCTTCTCCTTCTGCATGGCTGGGGGTGGGGGCGGCATGCAGGCACTGCTTTTTTTATAGTGTCTATTTTTCTTATTGTTATGCTTATATATTTCAAAATCCAATACCGGCCATTATTCAGGACAGTTTCTATACAAGGTATTTACATACGTACCTGTTGATTCTGAGCGACACATGCAGCTCGCCATGTGCTTCCTCTACTTCTCACTCAGTAAAGTGCTTACCTGTTTGGGGATGGTCACAGACCAGTAAAGGCCATCCCCCGTCAGCCCTCCATAAAGGGACGATCAGGATCAAGAGAAACCACTGTGATGCAGACCTACGAGTCGTCAGGATTTGCTTACCCGTGAGTCTGGTCTTCAACTATTTCTCTGAGCATTTCAGAAATATGTTTCAGTGGCTGGTGCCACAGTTCTTGTGGGATCTCTGTGGGTAGAGAGACCAGAGGGAACTGAAGAAAAGTCAAACCTATCAGGATCATCTGCTGCTAAGACCAGAAGAGCTTTGGAAAAATGCCTTGTTTTTCCTGGTCCATGGGACCCATACCACTGGTCTCATGCTGTTCCCAGTTGATATCCATCCCTTAGGCCTGGGAAGATCCTCAGTGTTACACAGAACTAACCTTCAATATATGGAAGGAGACAAACTGCAGCCTGCCCTAGGACTGGAAATGTTATGTTGCAGATACCCCAGGTTTTTTTCTTTTCTACCCTCCCCATCGCTGACAATTCATGATTTCAAAGTACATGAAGATGGTAATAAAAGTCAACAGGGAACTAAGAATAGGTTGCCCAACTGTTTTTCTATGACTGTGATGAATTCAGAATATGATTTCAGGTTTAAAGGAAAGGCCAGGAAAATAATACGCAGATATCATACAAACAAATGTCCTTTCTTGAGTTAGTTTTTCTGGTTTCGTAATTATCCCATGGTTTTAAGACACATCTGAACACGTATGTATCTGCAGTTCTACACAACATCTGACAAAGTTACCACATTTCCATACAGTGATAGGCTCTGTAATTAAATACATCAGAAGATAATGTAAGCAATAGGGTAAGCACTGCTAATGATCCCACAAATGTCACGGGTTACAGGCTCGTACATTATCTTTCCCTCCTCTGAAATGCCCATAACTCTTGATTTGTAGTCTTTGAAGGCATGTTTCATTTTCTTCTTTGTATTAATTATTTAGATACTTATTTTATGTCCCCCCCTACTGTAGCTCTTGGATAGTCAGGGCTTGTAAGTGATCTATCTTTTATGCCCCACAGGACTTTACAGTGGACACAAAATCAATTTCTGATGAATAGAAGATTCTGCTATTAAAAAATACTTCAGGGGCACCTGGGTGGCTCAGTTGGTTAAGCATCTGCCTTCGGCTCAGGTCATGATCTCAGGGTCCTGGGATCGAGCCCCACATCGTGCTCCCTGCTCAGCAGGGAGTCTGCTTCTCTCTCTGCTCCTCCTTGTGTTCTTTCTTTCTCTGTCTCAGATAAATAAAGTCTTAAAAAAAATACTTCAATTTGTGAACTTAACATTCATTTTTTCCCAAAAGTAATATGCTGAAAAGCAGAATAGGAGGAACTCCTGCTAAAATTCACTTATTTATTTTTGGACATAAATCTAGGACAGTCACATAAAGGAAAAGGTAAATGGCTGACTTCATGCCCAAGGTATCACCTTAGCCTTTTGTTTATAGATTTCCCAACTTAAAAAATAACAACTCCAGTATTTTTTCTGGAGCTCATTCAGCTTTGGCTGACCTCAGGCTTTGCTAATCTGACCTAAGCTGTAAAGTGTACCCCTAGAAAGAGAAATGCTGACTTTTCTGTCTCGTTATCAAAGTTTTCCCATTGTGTTCCCACAGGGTAAGTTTCACAACACTGTTGACCCCAGGTCCCGCCAGCCTCATTACCACCTCTACCGCTAGCACCTGAGAGGACAGGGTCAGATGGGTCACTTTGGGTGAGAACCTACATCTTTTAGAAAAAGGAAAAAGAACTGGATTTTGTAAAATGCTCTGAAACTTTGAATCATCTACTTTCCTTGAATGAATCAACTTACTCAAGTCTCAGGAAAAATGCAAGTAAAAATGGCATAAAAAGGAAATACTACCGGCTCTTTCCCTCTTCTTTTTCCTTCCACAGTTAAAATGCCTTCTTCTCTGGCACAGGCCACGCTGCGTCCGTGTGCTGCCTTTCCCTCAGATGCCAGGCTGCCACGGGGAAGGATGCCTTTATTCTCTATGCCTGAAACGTTGCCTAAACACAAGTTCCTACACACGCCAACAGGTCAACTCCAGTAAGGATGGAATCATCACTTCCCCAACTGGATGTGGCCAATGGAAGGCTGGCAAATGAGACCAGAGAAGGCCATGATCCAATACACTTACTGAATTCTTTCAAAAGTCTTCTTCCCTTGGCTCGGTTAGGAGAAATTTCCCCTAAATTTCCTAGGCTTTGTTCATCATTTTATCTTTCCTTCTGCAACAAGGGGCACAGAGTGGAAAGATGAAATACAAATAAACGTACTGTTTTAATCTTCCTCAGCCAAGTCTTGGCTTGATCCTGGCATTCAGGTGGATCTGGCCAGCACCAGTAGAAGCCCGTGTTATCCGGAGCAGACTACCAAAACTTAACGAGAGGCCATTTTTTCTTTCTTTCTTTTGGTAAGTGATGATAACTGGGAAGTCCAGAAAATTCTCATTTCAAAATCCCACAGAACGTGAGACCCCGAGAGCTTAAAGGGATGTTAGAGATGACCAAGTCCGTCTCCCCTGTTTTATACATAAGGGACTGGTAGGGAAGGGTCATTATTTGTCAGTGTTCTTTCTCAGAAATTATTTTAATATGGGTAGAATCAACTTTCACGTACCTTTCGGGTGTTGGAGCAGTGCCATAATAAGAGATGGAGAAGCATAAGGAAAGTAGGTCTTGAATGTAAACTTCAGCTACAAGAGAATAAAAACTTCAAAACCACATGGGCATTACGGTTGAAAGGGATATTAAGAAAGAACAAAATCTTGCATCATCTACCCCAAAAAGACCTACTAGTACTAACATGGTCAGAATGTTTTCTTAAACATTTATTTTTAAAAAATGCTTCCAATAACCTTGTAAATATGTACCAGAAAAATGAACCTTTTTGAAATCACCTTCTGGGGCTTAAGAAAAATAAAGTTATGTTCCTGATGTCTTCATAGCAGTTCTTTACCTCACATGAACCCAATTATGCACATAAATCTCCTATTTAAGTGAGAGTTTCCAAAGCGGTTGTGAGATGTTAGGTATTCCAGCATGATTTTTTAACAACAAAAAAAGCTTGAAACAACCATGGTGCTTGCAACACTTTGAGGGCCAAAGCGCTACAGTTATTTATGCCTTCTGAAGGCAGAGTGGCTTTGAAGTATGTTTGTAAGAAATTAAAGAAATAAAAGCACTTCTAGAAACAGTGAAGTGCTCGGGCTTTGATGAATTTTGGTAAATCTGTAAATCCATGTGACCATCATCCCAGTCAAAACAGAGAACATTTCTGTTACCCCAAAAACTTCATTTGTGGTTCCACCACTCCCCAGCAACCAATATTTTGATTTCCACAAGAGAGTTTCATTTTGCTTATTCTTGGATTTCATATGAATAGAATCATAGAGTTTGTATTCTTTTGTGTCTAATTTGGCTGAACATATTTTTTTTCTTAGATTCTTCCATGTTACTCTGCTTGTTGAGTAGTTTGTTCTTCCAGTCTTTTCTTATTGCTTGAAATAATCATTGTATGAATATACCATAATGTTTATTCATTCCCCTATTGATGGGTATTTGGGTTGTTTTCAGTTTGGGGCTACTATGAAAAAAGTGTCAAATTAACATTCATATTTATGTCTTTTTGTGGACATGTGTTTTCATTTTTCTTGGGTAAATAGCACAGGAGAAGAATTACCGAGTAGACGCCTATTTAACTTTATTAAGAAAATACCTAAAAAAAAATAAAAAATTAAAAAATTTAAAAAAAAGCAAATGCCATGTAGTTTTCCAAAATGGTTGTACCATCTCACATTCCCACCAGCAATTTATGAGAATTCCAGTTGCTCCACACAGCAAACATTTGATATTGCCAATCTTACTAATTTCAGCCATTCCAGTGGGTATGAAATGTCACCTCTCTATGCGTTTACTATGCATCTTCTTGACAGCAAATGATGTTGAACAATTTTCATGTGTTTAGTGCCAACTTATGTATCTTTTTTGAAGTATGTATTCATTTCTTTTCTACATTAAAAAAAACCTGAGTTGTTTCTTAGGGAGTAAGAGATCTTTATATATTCTGAACACAAGTTCTCTGTCAAACATATGTATTGAAAATATTTTCTCTCATGTGGTGGCTTGCCTTTTCACTTTCTTAACGAATCTACCAAAGAAAAGAAGCTTTTCATTCAGATGAAATCTATAATTTACCCAATTTTTCTTGTATGGTTTATGCTTTTTTTTGCATCCATTGTAAGAAATCTTAGATTGTTCCAATGTAAAAAAAAGATACTCTCCTATGTTTTCTTCTAGGAGCTTTATAGTTTTAGCATTTACGTTGAAGTCTATGATCTATCTCTAATTAATTTTTGTATTTTGTGAGGCAGAGGTTCGTTTTTTGCCATATAGATATCCAGCTGTTTCAGCACATCTGTTCAAAATGTTCCTTTCCCCATTGAATTGCCTTGGTGTCTCTGTCAACGACCAACTGACCATACATACACACACACACATATTTCTGGACTCTTCACTCTTCAGTTCTACCAATATATCTATCCTTTTGCTGATACCTCACGGTCTTGATTACTGTAGCTTAAAGTCTTGAAATCAGGTAGTATGTGTCTGCTGGGGTTTGTCTTTTTTTTTGCATTTGTTTTTCAGAATTGTTCTGGCTATTGTTCTGGAATTTTATGGGTTCTCTCTTCACATATTTAAGTTTCTTAAAGCAATGTTCTGTAGTTTTCAGTGTAGAGGTCTTATACATCTTTTATTAAATTTACATCTAAGTATTATCATATATTTTTAAAGATTTATTTATTTATTTTGGGGGGGTAAAGAGAGAGCGTGGGGGCGAGGGGCGGAAGGAGAGGGAAACCAGACTCCATGCTCAATACGGAGCTGAAGCAGGCCCTATCTCAGGACCCCAAGATCAGGACCTGAGCTGAAACCAAGAGCTGGACACCCAACTGACAGCGCCACCCAGATGCCCCTTAAGTATATGTAACTGTGCATTTGTCTTTCTCTCTTTACTTCTGTCAATTTTTGCTTCATGTATTTTGGAACTCTCTTATTAGGCACATATCCATCTATAATTGGTATTTCTCCTGATGACCTGACCATCGTGCCATTATAAAATGTCCCTCTTTTTATCTCTTGTCATACCCTGTCCTCAAGTCTACACCATCTGCTGCTAATAGCGCTGTACCAAATTTCTGTGATGATTACTTGTATAGCCTATCTTTCCTTTCTTTTACTTTACTCTATCTGTGTCTTTATAATTAGAATGGGTCTCTTGAAAACAACATACAGTTGGATCTTAGTTTATCCAATTTGACATTTGGGCCTTTTTACTAGCATATTTAGCTAATTTTTATTTAATTTTTGTAATTAATGTGCCTGTTAGTATGTTTGGGTTTAAGTCTACCTTTTGATGTTAGTTTTCGTTTGTCCCATTTATTTATTTTTTGTTTCTCTGGCAGCTCACAGCCCTGTCTTATGACACCTCAAGTCCATCAGATTGTGCCTTTAGGGCGCCTGGGTGGCTCAGTTCGTTAAGCAACTGCCTTCGGCTCAGGTCATGATCCTGGAGTCCCTGGATTGAGTCCCGCATCGGGCTCCCTGCTCGGCAGGGAGTCTGCTTCTCCCTCTGACCCTAACCCCTCTCATATGCTCTCTCTCATTCTCTCTCTCAAATAAATAAATAATAAAATTAAAAAAAAAGAGCTTCTTTAAAAAAAAAAAGATTAAAAAAAAAAAAAAGATTGTGCCTTTAGTTCTGGGCACCTGTGACCCCACGAAACCCCCTCCCACTCCTCACATGAGTGACCTAAGGAGACGGTTAGCAGAAATCCCAATGTGGTTTCCTTTTTCAAGGCTTAAATCTCCTCCAGTTTCTATGTGCTTTTTTAGTGGCTCTCTAGTACCTTCAAATAGTTTTTAAACATATTTTGCTCAGAGTTTATAATTTTCATTAGGAGATTTAGTCTATTATTGGACTCTGCCATTGCTGGAACCAGAACCTGAACTGATCTGCTGTTTGTACTAAGCCATTAGGCAAGTTTAGAAAAAGTGGCTTGTTGTGGCAACACTAGTCCAACTGGGCACATTGATGGAACTGCACCGTGCTTGCCAAATACAACAAGGGTGAGAGGAAAGGATAAAAAGAGAATGCGAAGCACTGAAGATAAGTATTTCTGACAATGGGAAAGAATGTGGATGAATGGGATTTCTCATAAACTGTTGGGGGGAATATAAATTGGTACATCCACATATGAAAACAATTTGGCAGTATCTACAGAAGCTAAATCTTTGCATACCTAATAACCAGCACTTCCACTCCTATATATATATATATATATATATCCCAGAATGTTCAGGGCAACCCTATCTCTAAAAGAAAACAAAATCTGGAGACAACCCAGAGGCCTACCACCACTTTCCCAACAGAGTGCTATATACAGCAACACCCCACCGTGGCCACACACGACATAGAGCAATCTTGGTGAGTGGGAAAAGCAAGGCTCAAAAGACTGCACACAGTATGCTACTCTTGTTTGTTGTTTGTTTTATGAAGTGCAAAAAAGTAAAGAATACATGGGTTGGGAAATCCCATATATGTGATTACATTATTTTCAGGAAAAGCAAAAGAATGATAAACATAAACTCAGAACAGTGGCTACATGGGGGAGACAGGCAAAGCTGTAAGACAGAGACAGGCTATACGGATACATGTAAATTATTGTTACCAGTCCAGGTCTCATTTGGATATCAGATTCATAAATATTCATTTTATTAAGAATAAATGCATGACGGGAGCCTGGGTGGCTCAGTTGTTAAGCGTCTGCCTTTGGCTCAGGTCATGATCCCAGAGTCCTGGGATCGAGTCCCACATCGGGCTCCCTGCTCGGCTGGAAGCCTGCTTCTCCCTCTCCCACTCCCCCTGCTTGTGTTCTTGCTCTCGCTATCTCTGTCTCTGTCAAATAAATAAAATCTTTAAAAAAATAAAAAAAGAATAAATGCATGAATGAATGAATAAAACACAGAAAGGAAAGAGTGTTATGCATGGATCACACAGGACACAGGGTGTTATGCATTAAGGATTATGAGTAATCTAAAAATGGGCACTCAAGAAGGCAGGAGATCAATGATGAGAAATGGCCGTCGATTAAAAAGGCAGGCAATCAGGAATAGCCCTACAAAGAGAAATGACATAATATATGTATATGAAGGCCTGTGCAAAGATAAGAGGTTACTGCCCTCTTATTCTGAGACCAAAGTCAGGGCAATGAATTCTTCTTTCTTTTTTGGATCCCTGCCTTGCTTTCCACTGGGACTCAGTGTGTACCCCTCCATACCGCCAGACCAGTGTAGCCTAAGCAGGGTGATATTCTAAAAGGAAAGCAACAAAAATAGAAAAGAAAAGCAACAGAAATAGAACAAACAATCTTAAAATCTGTATGGAACCATGAAAGACCCTGAACAGCCAAAGCAATCTTGAGAAAGAAGAACAAAGCTAGAGTCAGCAGACCCTCTGATTTCAAACCTTATTATAAACCTATAGTAATCAAAACAGTATTGTACTGGCATAAAAACAGACCCACAGATCAACAGAACAGAGAGCCCAGAAATAAACCCACACATACATGGTCAAGGAGCCAAGAATATACAAAGGGGAAAGGACAGTCTCTACAATTAATGGTGCTGGGAAAACTGGACAGCCACATGTAAAAGAATGAAACTGGACCACTATCTTAACAACATATACAAAAAATAAACTCAAAATAGATTGAAAATAGACTGAAACCATAAAACTCCTAGAAGAAAAAACAGGTGGGAAGTTCCTCAACAATGGTCTTGGTGATGATTTTTGTATCTGATTCCAAAAGCAAAGAGAACCAAAGTGAAACTAAGTAAGTGAACTGCATCAAACTAAAGAGCTTCTGTACAGCAAAAGAAACCATCAACAGAATGAAAAGGCAACTACCAAATAGGAGAAAATATTTGCAAATCATATATCTGATAAGGGGTTAATACCCAAAATATATAAAGAATTCATTAAAATTCAATACAAAAAAAATCTGGTTAAAAAAATGGGCAGAAAATATGAATAGACATTTTTCCAAAGAAGACCTACAGATGGCCAACAGGTACATGAAAAGGTGTTCAACGTCACTCATCATCAGGGAAATACAGATCAAAACCACAACAAGGAATCGCATCACATCCGTTAGAAGAGCTAATATCAAAAAGACAAGAAATAACAAGTGTTGGCAAGGATATGGAAAAAAAGGAACCCTAGTGCCCTGTTGGTGGGAATGTAAATTGGTGCAGACACTCTGGAAAGCAGTATGGAGGTTCCTTGAAAAAATAAAAATAGAACTACCAAATGATCCAGTATCCCACAACTGGGCATTTACCCAATGAAAATGAAAACACTAACTCAAAAAGATAGTTAATTAACTATACCCCCTATGTTTACTGTAGCATTGTTTACAGTAGCAATGACATGAAAACAACCTAAGTGTCCACTGATGGATGAATGGATAAAGAAAATGCGGTCTATGTATATACAATGGACTATTATTCAGCTGTTAAAAAAGGTGCTATCTTGCCATTTGCAACAACATGGATGGAACTTGAGGGCATTATCGTAAGTGAAGTAAGTCAGACAGAGAAAGATAAATACTATATGATATCACTTATATGTAGAATCAAGAAACAAATCAAAGCAAAACACCCCTTGAGCTCACAGATACAGAGAACAGACTGGTGGTTGCCAGAGGCAGGCTGGGGAGTGGGAGAAATGAGTGAAGGGGATCAAAAGGTACAAACACTTCCAGTTATAAAATAAATAAGTCTCATGGATGTAACATACAGCATAGTGACTACAGTTAATAACACTGTATTGCATATCCAAAATCTGCTAAGAGAGTAGATCTTAATAGTTGTCACTACAAGAAAAAAAATTCTGTGACTTTGTGGTGACAGATGTTAACTAGACTTACTGTAACATTTCACAATATATACAAATATTGAATCATTATGTTGTACACTTGAACCTGGTATTTGTTAATTAGACCTCAATAAAAAAAAATAAGAAGAGACAAATGACTCAAAAGCAACCGCAACTCCAGTCCGAATCCGCAGTGCCCAAGACCAAGAGCCAGGAGCAAGGCTGATAAGAAAAACACACTTAAGCTATTGCTTTCACCAGTGTCTTCAGACCCAGCCTAGGTGTTGTTCAGGAGTCAAGGGGGCAGGTTTTCTAGAGGCTGGTTCCTAACTGGGAATACAAAAAATGCACAAGGGAGGATAAAAGATATTTACAGTTATGCCTCAAAATGGGTGTGAGGGCCAACCAATGCCTTTCAGCAGAGCTCTCCTCCTGAATTCCAGGCTGGGTACCACTGAAACGTGGTTTGCTACAGTCTATTTAACCTCCCTAGGGAAAAAGGATGGGAGAAAACACATCATAAATATTTATGATTGCCTTAAAAAGCGGAAACATCTGCTAAAACCTGAGAGATTTCTTTGGTGCAGGGGTGTGTGGGATTGTAGCAGGTAACAGTCACACAGCACTGCTCTCTTCAGTCAGGCTGTGGAAAGCATGGTGAGGGACCATGGCCTACCTCCTGGGAAGCTGCAGTGACCCAGGCGCCCTGACAGGCAAGGCCCCACACATAGTATAGGGCAGTTAAAGTGCCCAACAGTGAAAGCTCTGGTGGGAACGCTTCCTGTTTCACAAGGTCCCTCTAATCAGTCCCCGGCCCTTGGCAGGGCTTGTCTGGCTTCTGCTGATGGGGCCCCACAGTACAAGTCTTCCTACAGCCCTCACGCCTGGCTTCTTGCTCGCTGATTGTGTCCAACTCGCACTTCTTGGTCACTGCCACTCCTAGCTGCTTCTCTACAATGATTCAAATCTCTCCTTGTCACTTTTACTGGCTCCTTTCTCTCCTGGAACCCAATTCACATTTGGGTCTCTCCTAGCTAGGCAAGGAAACTCTAATAATTAAGAATGCCCAGCACTCCTTTGTAATATGTGGCATTCCTTCTTAGCACCTGCCATATAGACTCCAGAATGCCTGGGCAGGGCGGAGGCCCGCTTGGCAGACAGCATGCAACACAGGCGCCGGAAAATGCCTCCTCCAGGGTGGCACGTGCTGGCATGAGAGTCCTCTTACACAAGAGCAGGTAAATGCTTCTGGGTACCAGGGCACAGGGCAGACAGAAACTATCCTGATTTATTTTCTACTAAAATGGTTTTACCTTTGCTGGGGCATTCATTTGGAAGCTTTCTTCATAAGCAAAACAGTTTATCAAAATTACTAAAAATAAAGTGCTCCTTCCTGGTGATTAGCTAGATACTCTTAACAGCCTTTTTTGTCTTTGGGGGAATGAGTAATATATGCAATATAACAAACCTGCTTGTTTTTTTTTTCCAGAGCTTCCACAAAGCACCGTGTAAACACTTGAATAGCGGCTAGTACTTCTGGGGCTCCGTCGGTTTCCAGAAGTGCACACCTGAGCAATGCAAAGCCAGATTACACTACACGTAATGATTAATCTGGCAAACACGTGAGCCTGAATTGTAAAAGGAAAGAGTGGAAACGTTCTTTTTGTGCCATAAGCTTCAGCAGTATCTTAGCTCATCAGATTTCAGTCCTCGTGTGAAAGTAGGAGAAATCTCACTCCTTTTCTAAATACTTCCATTAAAATAGCAATCGGCGGAGCTTCCTTTCTTGGTTTTTAAATTATTAAGCACTGCATATCCCTTCCACATAGGCCTGAGTGCTCTTTAGAAATACTCGCACATTGTACGCCCAGGCATGCAAAATCAACAGACCTTTTGCTTTTTCAAGTGGAGAAAGAGCTGCCCAAGCGGGTAAAATGCCTTGGTCAAATCCACCCAGAGAAGCGGTGAAAGAATCTGTGAAAAATCTGCCTTGTACCTGGACTGGTTTTTGTGCATTTTCATACAACTAACTATATGTTGAAACAAAAGAAATCAACTCAAACTTTGCTCGCTTTAAACTAAAAACATCATTCTGACTTACTCCTGTGCTCATTTATTTAGCCTGAAGTTGGTATGTTAAGACCAACTCAAGGACTGGGTTATTTGCTGTTGTAAAAATTCCTTTCCCCAGGGTTACTGTCTGCCCTGGAGGCTCTACTGCTGAGGGCGAGGGGGATGAAGGCGGGGAGAGTAAGCGCCAGCACCCAGGAAAGATGGAAACCCTCCCTTGGTAACAAGATCCCACTAACGGCCAGCCATGACCCAACCTGGTATCCAGTGGTCTCTCATCTCTCTTCACCTGTAAATCCAATGAACTTCCTAAGAAGTACTCATATTTGTAAAATTAATGTGTTTTAGGATAACATGCATAGTTGATTTTGCCTTTCAGCTCTAAGAATGGCATTATTTATTTCTTTTTCTCAGTTTTTCCTTAGCTTTAAATTCCTTTAAAAAGATCGGTCAGCCCTCATGTGGTGAAGGGAGTACACTGCTATGCTTTATTTTGAGCTGAGAAAAGTCCTACATGAACAGTTAATGATTTAATATCTAATTCGATTTTGCCTTTCTACCATTATAATTAGAACTTTAAATGGTTTTAAAAAACTTATTTTTAATTCTTAGGCATTGGCTTTTAAATATACACTGATATTTAGGTTTTACCAAATAGCTCAGAGGGGTAAGACAGAATCAGAAACTAACTTCCCCATTGTATAGCTAGAGACTACCACAAAATTTTTTATTCATATTTGGAAACTGGCTTTTCTAGATCAATTATTAGCAAAAATAGCACATCATTTACCTGAACATTTCATCAACAATTCTGAATATGGCAGGGTGGCAGGCTGCTTCAGGCTGTAAAGGAAGAGACCAAAAGAAAGTAAAATATCAGAAGCATTTCATGGATAACATATGACTGGTTATTATCAGGGAGATGAGTTGTCTAGAACTGTTGGTGTCTAGAAAATGGGCATATCCCTTTGGGTTGGGGAAAAAAAAACCAACGCTGAGTGCATGGAAAAAGCCTTGCATTACAAACACAAATTGGTTCTCTAGGAGCAAAGAGATTATGGGCAAGCTTTGTTTCCTCTTTATACTCCTGTATGTTCTACATTTTCTCCAACAGGCCAATATGATCCAGAGAAAGAATCAATAAGTATCATGGGAAATTTAAAAATACCTTTCACCAGCATGCTGTAGTAAAGGCAGAGCCTGTTTGTGTTGCTAGTTTTACACCTGCCCGTGTGTCTGACCACCCCCCATGGCCCAGAAGTGCCCCAAGGTCACGTCTGGGCCTGCTATCTTTTCATTCCTCCTTATTAGGCAATGAGTACATAGTAATTTAGAATTATTATTGAGGAAAACAGTGACTACTACCATCCTGGACTAAATAATATCACATCTTAGTGCACTATGAATTTAACAGCTTAAATTTAGGATGAAAAAGGGGCTAATGAAAATAAAATATAGATACCATCATTTTGAAGAAGAAAAGTGATTTATTCTGTGAATATTTTTGTGATGGTTTTGATGATTTCAATCTGCAGAAGTTGACCTACTGTGGCCTAGGTGGGGCTTCAGTGGGCCTGACCCAGGCTGCCTATCTTCTCAGCCAGAGCTCAAAGCATAACATTAAGCCAGATGAAAATGCCATTTGCGGGATGCCTGGGTGGCTCAGTCGTTAAGTGTTTGCCTTCAGCTCAGGTCATGATCCCAGGGTCCTGGGATCAAGTCCCTCATCGGGCTCCTTGCTCAGCAGGGAACCTGCTTCTTCCTCTGCCTGCAGCTCCCCATGCTTGTGCTTTCACTCTGTCTCTCTGACAAATAAATAAATAAATAAATAAATAAATAAATAAATAAATAAATAAAATCTTTAAAAAAAAAGAAAAAAATGTCATTTGTGTTCTGAAACAGATTTTACAGTAGCATCCAAATGTGAGTGGATTAAGCTCTACAAGGGACATTTCTTTGAGTCCTACTGCACTTGCTATGACCAGCTTTGGTAAACATTTTTTCATAGCCCCTCAGCAAGAAAAGAAGAAGAAAGGATATGCTTTGCCTCACAAGTTTTCTGGGCCATGGTGAAGAAAGAATGGAGTCTACCTCCATAGATTTTCTTTTCCACTTTCCAGTCTGCGCTGGCCTTTTGAATTGTAACATTGAACGTGTGCCATCTAGTGTTCACATCCTGCCACTACAGGCTGTCCCAGCCCGCTCCAGGCAAGAACACTGCCACTTGTTGAAAGGATGGGAAGATTTCCTTTTAATTACTGGAAGAGAGGGATTTGTGCTTTGCAAGTTACAAATTGCTACTCTTTAAGTAGAATAACCCACATTCCCTAATCCTTCATTGATGTGAATTTTTATTTAAAAGAAACCAACTAAAAATTCTCATAGGTAAATTCATTATGTACTCAAGAAATAATGTGGCAGGACCATGGTTCAACAGAAGGGAGGCAAATTATTTCTTGGCTTTGATCTCAGGCAAGTCAGTTCATCTCCCTGTGTCTCGGACCCACTGTAAATAATAACAGCTATTAAGAGGTCACTGGATAAATGCCCAGAAAGTATCATAAACCTTTCTACATATTCATAATGGAAAAATCAAACAAGAGAAAAGCGAACTATATGTTTTAGAGTGATTCATCAGATTTGCCAAAAATTTTTCAAACTTTCATAGATGGACAATATGCCTGAATAAGTGTTTGTGTCACATGCACACAAGCAGACATACAAGAGCCTGAAAACGCACTGATAGAAAACCAAAATTGGAAATGGTAAAATAGAACCATTCCTTTCAATCCAAATGGTCTAACTAATCTACAGCCACAATGTAAATTTGATGCTAGCAGAAAATCATTCAGTACTATTTACAGGGGGGCGCCTGGGTGGCTCAGTCGGTTAAGCGTCTGCCTTTGGCTCAGGTCATGATCCTGGAGTCCTGGGATCAAGCCCTGCATGGGGCTCCCTGCTCAGCAGGGTGTCTGCTTCTCCCTCTGCCCCTCACGCTGCTCGTGCTCTCTCTCTCAAATAAATAAATAAAATCTTAAAAAAAATACTGATTACAGGGAGGGATTTCTAAATCGCCAATGACAAGATAATCCAATGGGTAGAATAGGCTGTCATGAAAATAAAGGGGGAGAAGAACGTTCTAACTTAGATCGTTAAGAGAGGACTAGAGTTTGGACATACTTTTATTTTATGCAGTGTTTTCTATCAAAACCACTCAATCCAATGTTTTAAATGTCTCCAGAATGTGTGGAACCTCCTGCTCTCTCCATGCCATTGGACTCTCTGCTTAGATTTCCTTCTATCTAAAAAAAAAAAAAAAAGATTTCCTTCTATCCTAAATATTTCATATTTCAAATATTTATTTGTTCTCAGCCTGCTTCTACAACCCCTTTTAGCTTTTACAACAAATAAGATGCCAGGAGGCAGGAGAACCTTGCTGAAACAGCAGTGGCAGAGATTTTGATTTAAAAACCAGTCTTCCTTGCTGCCCCAGAGCTGTGAACAGCTCTTTCTCATCTGAAGCCTTTACTGATGGTTTTTCAAATGAGACTCTTTACACTTCCCGAGCACATAATTTCAGGGTCAGTGAGTCCCCTCATGAAGCCTGGAGTGGTCACAGGCCAGGCATGTGTCCCAGTGACATCAAATCACAAAAGCAAACTTAAGCTGCTTTTCTTTATCAAGAGAATCCTCCAAATAGAATTAAAGTCTTAATTTATGCTTCTTTGGAAGCCATAAATTTCCCTCCCCTAAATCTTTACAGCATCCTTGTGAGGGAAGAGCCAGACATTTAACCCCTCTGTGCCCTATCTTATTTGTAGAATGGGACCCTACAGCCCACCACGGGCTACCCTGCAACCCAGAGCCTCGAACCCTAGCTCTAAAGCCCTGCAATCTGGGCGATTATCTTTCCTGTAAAAATGAGGGAAAGAAAAACTTTCTTGGGTTCCATCTGTTTGTCTTTCTCCATCCTACCAAAATCTGTTCCTTCTCAAGCTCTGCTCTTCTCCATCTGGCCTAACGATTTCCATGTACACATTATTTCAAGTCTAGGGAAACTATGTCACCAAGAGGCCATCAATAACACACGTTTTGCCTTCTTTCCTCCCTTCACACCACCCCCAATCCTTTCACTGAATGTCGGAGGATGAACAGAAGATGATGATGGAGAGCTTCGGACTCTGGCTTCCTTTTCTTATCGACCAGATTGTTCTGTTGGGTGTGCATCCCCTTCCTGTCTCCCACAGCTACCCAGAAATGCATCGTTTATCTCCTCTCTGCCTAGGACAGCCTATTCCCAGCCCTCAACAAAACGAGGCAAGACAGAGTCAACACAGTAGAAATGCGCAGTGGCCGTGTGCTCTTGGCCTGTTGGTTGTGGGGGAAAGGTGAGGGAGAGGCCAACTGTACAAATAACATCCATGCACACTCTCTGCCCTTGATGCCTAATCTGTTATTTTCATCCCAATTCATCAAGGATTATTACAAGCCACTTGTCACTTGAAAGAGGCCTGAGAACATGGAAGAACAGAATTCTCATGGAAGAAATCTTTCCTCTTTTCTACCATTTTCTGATTCCTTGTGTGTGCTCGATAGAGTATGGGGAAGAGGGGAAGAAAAGAGAGACTACAAACCAGAAAGGGAAATTGTACTATGATTCGAGGTAATTCACAGACAAAAGTGAATGCCTCATAGAAAAAAGGGCAGTGAGGAAACAGAAAAGTTCTCAAGCCTTTTCCATTTATCATCCTTCACAGATATTTTTATCTAAAAAATAAAGAGGGAAATTGGAGGTAAGAGAGAAGATGAAGTTCAGGAAGCCTGGAATAGATTCTCTTTCGTGGTCTGTTCTACGAGAGTTAAATACTTTACTCAGGAACGGTCATTCTCTTCAAGAAGAAATGGCTGATGAGAAGCTTGCCCTCCAGGTGCGCGGCGTACGCAGGAGCCAGCAGTCCCGGCCCACTCAGCCCACTCCTCCAAACCCTGACGGGCGGGAGCCCCTGTGGTGATATATGTATGTAATTGAAGGGTGACTGTATTTACCAGAAAATACCTTTCCTCTTTTAAAAAAGGGATTCTCCAGAAGATTCATTCCAATAGTAAACTCTTTTATAGAGCTCAAAAGCAATTTGGTTTTTAAGATACCGACTTATATGAAACCTTTATATCTATTGTGTAAAGTACCTTTATTAATACGTATGTTTTATTATGCCATTTTCTTCTTTTCTGCTTTCAGAATGCTAAACGTAAAACTGTAAATATCCCTTTTACATTTCAGGACCTATTTTGTTTCAAAACACTCAAGTTTCTTTCAACAAATTTGAGCCTGGAAAAATTATTATTTTTAATCTTTACCAGATGTTGTTTATACTACAAGCAATTTTTTTCAGTACTCCATAATGCAATTATTGTTTAATTAGTGATAAATGTATCATTTCTGGGCTTAAAAGAAAAACAACTTAAGCACCAAATGTACTTCTGTATTTTAAATTTACCTGTGCTCTCCAAGAGCGTTAAGACGCAGGGGATGTCAGCTCTGGATGCAGAACAAGAAACCCCAAATCTGAAGTTCTTTCTAGCCTTGCCCAGTGGCCTCTGTCCAGTGAGCTGAACTTGTGCAGCTTGAGCAGGAAGATAGCCCCTCAGCTTCCTGCTGCTTCTTGGCTCAGTCACTAAGTGGCACTGAAACCCCAGGTCGAACACTGCACTTTGTTTTTTGTTTTTTCTCTCTCCCTTCATTTGACTGGTCGGTTGCAAAGTCCTGCATCCCCAACAGTAGGAATCCCCAGCACTTGCAATCTGGGCCTCCTTCTTTACAGAGATGATGCCTGGAGCGGGGG